GGCTATTTTTGTAGTGATTTTATAACATACTTATGTTATAATTTTTTTATAAAAAATAATTATATCTGCTCTACTTTGTATTGAGCACTCTTTTAAGAATAGTAATTGTTGGTTATTGGAATTCATTCCGTATATACCAATTATATACTTTGAGATATATATATATATATAAAATACTGAATACTCAAATTAACTTATTCAGTACTAAGTTCCTTCTTGCAAATTATTTCTCATTCTTAAAGTATTTTCATAAACCAGTTAGCACAGTTTATAATATGAAAAATACTCAAGTGAGACGTAAACAAAGCATAGTTGTCAAAGTTGTAATGCCACTGATATTATTGGCTGCTACTAGAATTACATCATACACACACATAATATAATATAAATCATGAATTTTCACACAAAGACTTCATATATACCTTTCACCTTATATAAAAAGGAAAACAAAACATATTTTGCATGAACTTTGTGAGCAACTTTACAACTTGTTTCTTTCAACTTAAAAGAAAACAAAGATTATTTTTATACTCAATAATAAAATTATTTAAATTTGTATACCTGTGTTCAAAGATTATTTCTTTTCTTTGCTTTTCAAACACTTCAAAATACCTTCTCCTGTGGTGAATGATAGTTTATTTAATGTGGGCTGTTTAATTTGTATAATAATACCTTCTACAAATGTTCTAATGAGCTTTCTTTCACAGTACCTCAACTGCATAAAATTAAGCACACTAAAAGATTGTCAACAAGGTCTAATTGTTTTATTGTTGAAATATCTAGGTGTGACTCTAAGTGATATCCTAATAGGTTCTTTTCCTACAATTCCAATCTGTGGAACTCTCTTTCAGTTTCTTACTTCCCTGCCACCTACAATCTTCAAAAATTTAAATGCAACATCAATTGCTATCTTATGCCTTCCAGAAACCTGTTGTTAATTATTATCCTTTCTCGTCACTAATGTTTTCTTATTTTCTCTCATTCTCAGTAGCCCCTTGCATCTTGATGACATTATCACCTTGCTTGGGGATGAAATGATTAAAAAAAATAAATAAAAAAATATATATCTACATACAAATCTTGTACCTATTAATATAAGTTTGATTAAAGATTATCGACAAGGAATGTATTATTTTAATTATTACTTGACTTTCCTTCCTTATGTACAACAGAATGAATGCAAATATTTGGTCAAACATTTGTGATCTAATGTTTTTGGCCATAAGATCAAAAAAAACTGTGGTTGTTATTTTTCAATTGGGAAAATGAATAACTTGTTAAACTTTGGGTTTTGCTATTAATGTGTTGTTGAAGAAGTTATAAATGAGATGACATGCAAGAAAAATTCTTAATTGGTCAAAATGTATCAGTTTTTAAATAGATAATAAATTCTCAGTTTTGAAATTGAAGATTATGACTTCTTGATTTGATTATTAGTGCTTCAAGATTGGAATATTTTTTTTTTTTTTTAAAATGCAATTATTTAAATTTTTGCATCTCATGTATCTAAATGTTTAATGCAGTCAGCCTTGTATCACATTTATCATAATTGTTTTTAATTATCGTACACAGTATATAAAGTAATTTTGTAAAGAAGAGTGATGTGTTTTGATTCTGGACATTCATTTACTGTAGTGGATTGTGAAATTAGTGCACATTCAGTACATTTTTACCTTAAATTATTTTCTTTTAATTGTCCTGTTTGTTGGATTGAAAATATATTGACTGTAACCCCACACAGAAGAGTAAAACCACCTAAAATAAGAAGCATCTGTTTGCTGTATCTATGTCTAATTCAGTGACTAATGAAAACTTAACCTGTGTCTGCCTTTTTGACTCTTATGCAAAGCAGACTAATGTCTACATATCTATTGTTTATCAAAATCAGCATTAAATAACCTAGAATACAAATGACATGCCATAAAAAAACAAACTGAACTTTCTCTTTGAATCAAAACTCAAAATTATATTTAGATTTATTAAGAGGAACAACTAATACCTGGAGTGTATTTTTTTGTAAAAGATCCCTCTTATGTTTATATAAACTTTTTCTTTAAATTAGATGTCTAGTGTATTTCAAGAGACATTTTTACAACCTTTGTCTTGTGCTAAATAAATCCCCCTTTTTTAAGTAGTTGTGACAAATTTAAGATTTGATAAATTATTAATTATCATTATAAAATTGATAGGTAGGATTATGTGCTTAATTTTATCAAATATATTTACATCATAGATTCCCAAGTAGGCATCTACGTGGGCGACACTACAATTTACTCCTGCCTCAAAAACAAATCTAGTGTCACTGATAAAACTAACCTGGCCGTTTGTCTCGAAAAGGACCTCCAATTGGTTGTGAACTGGGGCAGGAATTGGCTGGTTAACTTTAACGCCTCAAAATCAAAACTACTCTGTATTAATCAGTACAGAGATCCTTCCCTGCCCCCCATTAGAATGTCTGACGCTCAACTTCTCGAGAGCACCTCTTTGCAGCTGCTTGGTCTCACATTGACTGTTGACCTGAGATGGAACAAATACATTGAGTTAATTGCTTTGTCCATTGCAAGGAAAGTTGGCTCCCTGTGCCGCGCCAGGAAATATTTCTCCCTGGAATCAATCCTTCAAATCTACAAATCAACCATTTGCCCTTGCATGGAGTATTGCTGCCATATATGGTCTGGAGCCCCTTCTGTTTGTCTCAGGGCAATCTGGCATCTCGTCTGCAGTCGCTCTCTCACAGATGTGTTGTCGCTTCTCTCTGTCTTTTTTACAAATACTTTCATGGAAATCTATATTCATGCCAGATATTATTATATTGTTATGGAGTAAGTAGAAGTATACAGTGGAAAGTACTTGGACAAACTGTATTCTTTGGTTCTATCAGTTCTAACCTTCATAGCTAGGACCCGCTGTGCCACTCACATTGTAACAGACCACCCTCATTCCTCTGTATCCTATTGGTGAGAAATTCCACTCAAACAGGTTCTTCCTGAAAACCATGGCACTGTGGAAACAACTCCCAAGAGGATGTTTCCCTGATCACTACAATCTTAACCTGTTCAAGTCTGGGGTTATCCCACCTATCCAGATAAACTGTGCTTCTTACTCTGCAACCCTCTGGACCTTGTACAGGGTAAACCTCACTGTTAAAAAGAAAAAAAAACTGCTAAGAGCCACACATGATAGAAAGTTGTGGAGAGCCGTAATTGTTTATGCCCTGAAGGGATGCAGTACATAAAAGTTCTGCTCATTCTATTGCTTTATCAGATCAATTTTCTTGTCCTTTTATTTTTTGTTAAAATGTTTCAATTCTTCTATACAGCTAGGCCCTAATCAAATGTCTGTCATTTTTGGCAATCTTGGACCTTCATACCTCCCAAAAAATGCTGTGTCAAAACCTCAAATTTGTGTTGCACTGATTAATTAGCTGATAATTGATAACTGATCCTGTCAGCATTTTCTCATTAACTGGTCAATAACCTTTTTTTTCCTTTTTGTTTTTGGTTCATTAATTGGTTTTCATACTCAGTCATCCATGTTAATTACATCATAGAAATTTCATTCCTGATGAAAGAATCATCAATTATCTGAGACATAGTATAGCTTTTTGTTAATTTTTTTGCCAATCTTTATTAAGTGTAATTAAATGACTGATCATCAATTGATTAATGCAAAATCAGTGCAACCTACCTCAAATCTTTCATTTCTTTTCAGTAGCTAATATAGATTACTGATATTTATGCTTGGCCTGCTGATTGTATTCTCTGAACATAGCATATGCATGGATTCCTTCTATTCACTAGTTCAGGGGTGGCCAAACTGCAGCTTATGAGACACATGTGGTTCTTCAACCTTTATTATGTGATTCATGGAAATAGGTTGATTGAGCTCTTTTTTTCATCACAGTTAATATAAAAGGTTTATAAGAAAAATTTCAATCATTTACTGGGTATTAATTGAGACCCCACTGGATTAAAATGTAAGTTTAATATTAATGAGTATGTAGCAAAAATGTATGTGTAAATTTTGTTCAGGTCTTGTGGCTCTCAAATATCTGAATTTTATCATAAGTGGCTCTTACATTAAGCAAGTTTGACTACGCCTGCTCTAGTGCCACTCAGTGTCAATTATTTTGACTATCCCACAGAGGGGAGTGAGGGAGTGAGCTCTCCTCTTACTCTACATATGATCAGGTTTTTCTGATTTTAAAGTATCTCCATGAATTACAGCTTTCTAATATCCTTAATGTTTTATCCCACAGAGGTGGACAGAATTCTCCTTACCACTCACTGTGATATTAATTCAAATAAACATTCTAATTTTCTTCTTTGTATAAAACTGATTCAATCATGCATTTACATTGACCAAATCATCAATGTGTACTTTGGTTCACAAAGTAAAAAATTGTAAATAACAAGTAACGAGTTATTAGACAGAAAAACATGCATTTAGAGGTTTATGATTTTTTATTGACTTCTAAATGATTCCTTTTTTATCTATCTACTTTAGTAACGAACAAGACTTCCTTAATGTTAAAGTTAATATCAATCAGTAATGTATTCATGCCTCTTAGTCTTCTGATCATGTGACATTTTAACCAATGAGAAGAATTTTCTAAATTTTATAAAAAGCAAGATATGTTGATCCTTTCTGATCTTATAACATTTAACATTGCCAGGAAATGTAAACTTTTTTTTAAAAAATCTCTAAAGATAGTATTTAGATGTTTAGAAAGAGAAAGACAATAACTTAGTCTTCCCTAATCTGCAAAGTCCAACATAGGTATTAGTATATCAATGAAATACTAAGAAAATGGAATAATGAGAACACTACAGAGAAATGAATAGCAAAAATAAAATTAAAAAATTTTAAATGCTAAACATGTAAACTGAATAAAGGAAATAATTTGTAATGGTAACAAATTGTCCCAATCAGAGAAATTTATATACATATATATGAAAGCAAGAAGTATGTGAAGTGGACGAATAAAAGAAAGGTCTTACTTGTAATATTCCCAAGAGGGACAACCCCGTGATATTTTTTTTCTGTTCCTTTCTAGTAATCATCAGAAATACATCTTCACCAGTGTCAAGCTAAAAAGCAACTGACCACTCTACCTAAAAGTCTGTCATGTGACCCTGAAGGCTCCTTGAGACATAAATAAATTCTTCCTGTCAAATTGCCTTCTGTATCTCTACAATAGTATTTATTTTCATTTGTAGAACATCCGTTTTTAACCAAGTTGATTTTGACACCCAAAAAGTATATTCAAAATATGTAACAAATTTTCCTTGAAAATTTTAAATTATTTATTTTAAATGATATCAATTTATTTTTTAATGATATCAAATTAAATGAAAAGTTTCTTTTCACAAATTTTTAAAATTTTATTTCAATATTTCTGCATTAGCAAGGGAGCAATAAAAATATTTTTTGTAATTATCACCAGTTTTATCTATTATCTTCAAAATTCAAATCAGTATTCTTTTTTAAACTATTGTTCATCTACTACAAGGCCTAAGTGCCACTCAAGGTAGAAGGTTACTGAATGGGAATGTTGTAAGTGTATATAAGGAGGGATTAAGGGTTGCATATTATGAGGATATGTAGGACAGACAATGGTTGACCCTCAACTTGAAGAGGTTCTGATTATAATGAAAGGAGAAGCATTCCTTTAGGAGTTCATTCCACATTGCAACAGTGCTGGGGAAGAAACTATCTAAGTAGAACTTACTCCCTACCAATGGAATATGAACAGAATGAGCATGAGTCAGCTCAGTACATGGCCAGTCCTAGCTTTGAAAATCTGACCTGCTGGAACCCAGGAATGTAGTTCATCTGAACATCTTCCATGAAAATAGCAGTATAGTAGCAAAAGGCTATCAATGTTTCATATTTGGATAAAGAGGCTGAAGGTTAAAGAACAATTCATCACCTACAAGGCAGTGTAAACTTTTTCACATTTAGTCAAGACTGGGAAGTAAGGATTGGGTAGCTATCACTCAGATATGACAGCAATATTCCGTTATCAGCTCTTGTAGAGATAGAGCATGGTAGCAGTAGTGTCATACAGGGAGCCAAACATTTTTCCAATGTGAAGAGATGGGCACTGATCATTTAAGCATTCTATATCACATCTTAAACAAATCTACCAATAGAAAACAACAATTCGGCTTTCACTCCCGAGATCAATGTACAGATGATGATGGGAGCTATGCCGATGCCAAGTGTTTCATGAAATACAACCTTTCCAAAACAGGAAATATAATATGAAATTAGAATGAAAGCAATGCTGGCACCTACTCTGAATTCATTATAAAAATTCAGGATATGGATTTAGTAAATATTAAACATTTCAAATACTTTGGTTTATAGATAAGTTATGAGAAATTTAATATAGAAGATAAGGAAATCAAATATAGAATAGGCTATACTAGAAATAGTTTCACTCAACACTGCAATTTGCTACAAGACCAAAACATTAACCTGAAAACTAGAGTTCTTTTCTTAAATAGCTGTATCAGATTACAACTTTCATATGGCTGCTATGCATGGCACCAAACCTGTTCAGAAATATCTAAACAATCAGCTGTATACAACCACTCTCTAAGATCAAAAATAAAAAAAATGCCTTTGAGCAAGTGAAGTCTTTGGTTCTTGGTGAAGACCACAGTTCTTCAAACCTTGTGGACTGGTGCTGTGGCACCTTGCATTATTAGAAATATTCATAGAAATATGATTTAATTTTTTCTTACTCGGTTTACTAAACAGGTTGTTGATTTTTTTTAAACGGAAAATAATTGAGTTGAAAATAATTCACTAAGATTGTACTTGGACGATCCTAAGGGAAGAAGAAAAAAGAAAGAAAGAGAGTTGGATGATGCATGACCCAGTCAATGGTGGAGGTAGGAGTCAGAAAGATATCTTAGCCAGCATGTTGACCGAATTTTTTAAAGACAATTGGAAGAATAGAATTAGAAATAAAAAAAAAGAAAGAGAGAGAGTTGGATGATGCATGACCCAGTCATAAGCGAAGATAAGTGTCAGAAAGATATCTTGGCCTGCGTGTGGCCGAATTTTAAAGGACAATGGGAAATTGTTATTTGAAATGAAAAATCATTAAGAGGGAGAAAAAAAGAACCAGGCTTGATGACAGTGTTTTGGCAATTGATAAGAAAATCGGTCAAAGCATCTAGCCTACTTTTTAAGTAGAAAGACACCTTGTCAAATTGGAGAAAGGGAAATTCTTTTAGAACAATAGAAACGAAATTTTTTTTTTTTAATCAGAGAAAAAGTGTCTTTTGGGTTGAGGGGAGTGACCGGTGGAACGGTATACAGATCCTGACCTATTAAGAATTAGAAACCTACGATAATAAAGTGGGAACATTTTCAATGTAGATAATTAAGATTTTCTGACTGCCGGGTCTGACAAAAACAAGAGGTGAAAAAAAACGATTGTCTCAGATCACAGATGGCGACAATATTCTTTCCTGAAGTCACAACTAATTAGCGGCAGGCTGTGTTGACAAAACCCAGGTGAGAAAAAAAGCCAAGATTATAATTTTTTCGTACGTGCGAAAAAAGGCCAACTTAGATTTTGTTTTTTTAAAAACAAGAACGATGTAACCACGCCCGAAAGGAGGAGAAAGGATGCTCGATCAATAACAATTGGTCGGAAACGGTCACGTGATCTGCAGAAAAGAAGAGAAAGAAATGCCCAATCAGGAACCATTGGTCGAAAAACGGTCACCTGACATACGAGAGACTAAGAGAGATGGGTGTGCACCTCCCAAAAGGGCACTGTGAGGAAGTAGGGGTGAAAACAATAGCGATAATGGGAAATCAAAAATAATGCGACTTTTGGAGTTATCGAGAAAACCCTGACGCCGACAGACCCACCCCAGTTTGTTCTGGGCGTCAATAAAAGCAGGACCCCAGTCGACAGAAATCAGTTGGAGTGGAGTTGCAGCTGGACCGCTGGCAGGGAAAGAGCCTGAACGCGGGCATCGGGCCCGATTCTACTCGCCCCTTTGGGCAAAAGAATCCTCAGACAAGAAATCCTCCCAGCCCAAGTCGAAGACAGAAGAGTTCAGCCCCGGACGGCAGCGAGAAGAGATCACCTCGGACGACAGAGAGTTGCGGCTGAGTTGCAGCAAGAGATCCTTCCAGCCCAAGTCAAGACAAGAGAACTTCCAAGCCCAAGACAAGAGAACTTCCAGCCTAAGTCGACGAAGAAGAAGAAATACAACTCAAGTCGAAGAGAAGAATCAACTGCGAATGATCGATAGAAATTAGCCCCAGTGTCGAACCAAACCACACTCCGACATACACAATTCTAAAGAGTAGGCAATTCGAAATCTTTAGGTTGTGTGATAGAAGCTTGTGCCATAGTCCACAGAGCGGGTCGGGAAATGAGAACAATTTTGTTTTTATGTAAAGGACATTAAGATATAAAAGGTTGTTACCCTTTTTTTCATCAGCAATCTTTTTTGTCTCGTGAGTTTATTTTCTCTTTTATTTGTGTTTTGCCACCCCGCCGGACTCAACTTGTATCGCCCCCAATCCCTGCTGGTCCCGTCTGTCTAAGATCTAAACACAGCGTGGGTAGACAGACCGGAGATCGTACAGTTGCTTTAGTGACCAGGTATTGAAGCGAGTCGGGAAAGGCGAGGCTGGTGATCATCTGACCAAGGGGTTGGAGCGCACGCTTGGACCCAGGAGGAGCGACGTCACCGTTACGCCAGAACCAAAGGATCCGACCCTGGGCCAGGTGTGTAACCGTCACAGTGCTACAGAATCACAAACTGAGAACTGTAACAAATAACGGAAACCACATCACTTGATGACTTTCAACAGCAACTACAACTAAAATCTATATCACATGTAACTCAGAAAGAAAATAATGACATAATCAAGATGTTGACAACCACACTATTTCAAACAAAAGGCAAGGAAGGCAACTCCCATCAATACTAGAAAGAGTGATAACAGCTACTGGAGTTGAGAAACCCATTTTCTTGAAAAATTTCAACCAAAAGTATTACTAGCTGCTGGCTCAATGAATGCTAAATGTTTCCTTATAAGGAAACAGCTAATATTAGCATTATCATTTGAGCTCCTCTGTGAGCTTGGATCCCAGTAGGCATTCCAGACTAAATATGAATGATAGTGGGAAATTTTCAAGTTATAAAATAAGCATGTCGTTCAAATAAATGCTTATAGAATTCAGGAGGTGGAAGGAAATGAGACAATATCTGAGTTCACTGCTCAAAACTGGTTTCAGCATTTAAATGGTAGTGACTTGTCCATAAAAATAAATCATACTAGTGGATGACAATAAAAATAAAATGTAAGGCAGTTTCTCTTTTAACTGACCTGAGAGGTTTCTTCTTTTTTGAACCAAGTATTTCTAGGATATGTGCAATCATAACTTCCAGCAATTTCATTTTTTCTTTAATATCTGTAAAATGGAAATTGCCAACACTCTTTTTGTGAAAGGTAGTGAAGTGGTTTCCTGATGCCTTTTCCAGTTTTAAATTCAGAGTTGTCTCTTTCTAGAACTCATTTATCTACCAATGCTAAAGAGCTCAATCTGCCCTGCTATTTCTCAACCATAACTAGTTTTTTTTAAATCAGTATCACCCCATGCAAGGCAGTAAAGCCACTAAGATAAGGTGTTACAGGGCATGGAAGAATTAGGAACAGAAACATTAATAAGGAGTGGAAATATGAAATAGTAATCAGGGAGTTAATAGATAGCAATTGACATTGCATTCAAATTTTTGCAGATTAAAGTTAGCCAGAAAGCATAGCACCAGAAGGGTGTTCCATTAGTGAGAAGTGTAAAAAAAGAAACTGTTAGCATAGAACTTATGGCTACATCTAGCTAGCTCAACTGTAAATTGATGAGATCTCAATGCCAGTCTAGTACTGTGCTTAAATTCAAAAAGTCATAGTGAAGAGCTCATCTGAACAATTACCATGAAAGTATTTAGAGAAAAGGTACAGTGAGACAACTTTAGAGTGGTGGGAAAGTGACTGAAGCTGAGCTAGATTTATACCTTTC